TTTATTATTTTTGAGTAGGCTTTTGAATTTGTCTTCTTTGTCCAGAAGCTTCTGGTTTCAGTGTTCAGTTTTACATATCATATTCTGTCCTTGAATGGTTATTTTCAGCTTTGCTACGTGCATTAATTGGTGGGCTGCAGCTGTGACATTAAAAAAATAGATGGATGAATTAGAGTATTTGATAACTGGAAAGGATCTTAGAGATCACATAACCCAAAAATCTCATTGTATAGATGAGAAACTAAGAACCTGAGAGGTTAATGATTTGCTGAAGGTTACACAGCTGGCACCTGGTTGAGTCAGAACCAAAATGGAAGTCTCCTGATTACAAATTCAGAACTTATTTTTATTAGTCATTGTGGATGGGGTTGGTGGGTGGGAGAGTGAGTAAATGAAAGTCATAGAAATGATCTGGAATTCTTGTTCTCCTCTGAATGATATGATCTGTTCTATCACTCTTTTTAGATTTTAGATTCATGTGAAGGTATAAACAGCTAGGTTACAATGTTTGCATTTGTTAGGTAGAGTCCCTGTTGTAGTTGTGTCTTGCACCCGGGAGGCATGCCTGCTACCCTTACATTATGCCCATTAAGTGGAAACACATCAATCTTTTCCGTCTCTTGAGGAAAGTGATAGTTTTGTTTAAGATATCTGTCATTGTTGGAGACTGGGATTCATGATTTACCCTTGTTTCCCTTTTAAGAAAAATGCTTTTCAGGGACACAAGGACTCTGTGTTGTGGTCTTCTTCTGCAGGGATGCCAGAGTTTGTGAATAAGCGAGGCTCATAGTCTTTGACTTATCTGCAACCCTAAAAGCAAACTTTGTGACCATCTCATGTCCACTGAACTTGTGCTTTCAGCTATTTTTCCAGGAAGGTTGGAAGTCTCCCTGGGACAGCCAAATACTCTAGCAGATGGCAGATATAGAGTATCTGCAAACAAAAATAACAAGAATGAAAACTGTGGTCCCAGGCCAGAGTTCAGCCATACCCTATTCTCATCATGCTTTGAACAGCTGAGGTAATAGATACTTCTCACTTAAAACCTTTGCTACTAAGGGATTTGTTCTGTTTCCAGTTCATTGGAATTCATTTTAATCAGCTCTATCACACTTGTGCCTCTGTCTCTTTCTAACTGCATTTCAGGCCCCTTAAAGGTACATTAAATATTCACTCATCCTGGTGCTTCTTTGGGAGGTCTCTGCCAGCAAAGTTTCAAAAGCAGAACATCTTTAAATGTCTTAGCCTTCTGAATATGAAACTTCTTGTTTAGAGAGCTGTCACTGGGTACAGTAGCATGTACCTGTAATCCTAGCTACCTGGGAGGCTGAAGTGGGAAGATCACTTGTACCCAGGCATTCAAGACCAGCCTAGGCAACATAGGAAAGATCTTGTGTCAATGAAAAAAAAATAATAAGAACTATTTGTCAAGGAAACCCTTATTTAAAAAATAAAAACAACCAAACATAAAAACTAACAGCTAAAAATAAAAAACAAAACAAAAAAAAACTAACAGCTAGCATGAAAAGAAACACAAGACACAAAGTCTTTTTTTTTTAATTAAATGATAGCTGTATACATTAATGCAAATTTGGGGTACAGTGTAGTGTTTTCATATATAATTTGAAATATTTTCATCAAACTGGTTAACATAGACTTTGTATCATTTACTTAGTTATTGTGTTAAAACATTTATACTCTAGTTCTAGAAAAGTTCATTTGTACCCTTGTTAGACAGACCATATAGGTGATCTTTCCAATCACCCTCCCACCACCCATCTGCCCTTCTCCCCCTCCCCCCCATATCCTTAGGCTAGAATTAGGTTGTAGAATTAGTTTCATTTGAGAACTATAAATTAGTTTCATAATAGGGCTGTGTACATTCGATACTTTTTCTTCCATTCTTGTGATACTTTGCTAAGAAGAACATTTTCCAGTTCTGTCCATGTAAACATGAAGGAGGTAAAGTCTCCATCTTTCTTTATGGCTGCATAGTATTCCATGGTGTACATATACCACAGGAGACACAAAGTCTTAACTACACAGTAATTTCATTCATTCATTCAACAAGTATTTATTGACCACCTGCTGTGTTCCAGGGACTTATCCAAACTCAGGGGATATAGCAGCTAACCCAACAGACCAAAATCCCAGCTCTTATGGAGATTACTGTCTAGTGGGAGGATACAGACAATGACAAGTAAAATATTAATATATACTATAGCAGATGATGATATATACTATGGAGAAAAAATTAGGAAGGAGATAGCCAATGTGTGTGTGGGTGCCATGAAAAAATGATGATCAGGAAAAGCCTCACCCAGAAGGTGATGTCTGAGCAAAGTCTGTAGATGCTTAGGAAGTGAACCTGGTACATCCTGGCTCTTCTGCTCTAAACCAGTGTATTTCAACCTTTTTTATCTCATTGGCACACGTGAACCTATAGTTAAATTTCCGTGGCACACTTAAATTATGTTGATCAAAACAACAAATAAGAAAAAGAATATACTTACTGTGCTTTGAACTTCTTTTGAAAATAATTTAATTAATGATGTTTAAAAATTTTCATAGCATACTTAAGAACTTCTCATGGCACATCAGTTGAAAACCACTACTCTCAGCTTTTGGGTTCTGAGATGGTAGCCTCTTTGTCCACAGTAGTTTATGAAATGTCTAATGAAATATTATGTATAATTAGGAAGTCTTTGGGACACTATAATAGAATTTGTTAGCCTAGAGAGGAGATATTTTTTTTTTTTTTGAGACAGAGCCTCAAGCTGTCCCCCTGGGTAGAGTGCCCTGGCTTTACAGCTCACAGCAACCTCCAACTCCTGGGCTCAAGCGAGTCTCCTGCCTCCGCCTCCCAAGTAGCTGGGACCACAGGCGCCCGCCACAACGCCCGGCTATTTTTTGGTTGCAGCCGTCATTGTTGTTTTGGCGGGTCCGGGCTGGGGATTCGAACCCGCCACCTTAGGTGTACATGGCTGGCGCCTTAGCCGGTTGAGCTATAGGCGCCGAGCCGAGAGGAGATATTTTTTTAAAAAGTATCTTATCATTGATCGATTGCTTCCTATATTCCAGGCACTGTGCTAAGTGTTTTATATTAATCAATTAATATATTACTAATGCCTATGTCAACACACTACTGACACATTATTATGTATTATTACAACATCCCTAGATGGTATTCATTCACTTACTCAACAAATATCCATTGCCAGGCCTTGCCCCGATGCAGCAGCAAACAAAATGAAGTTCCTGTTCTCATGCAGCTCAGCTAATGGGGCAGATAGACAATAAATGCATAAATGTATGACTGTACAGAATGGCATATGGTAAAAAGTCCTATGGAGAACAATAGAGCAGGTAAAGGAACAGGGAATGTGGAGTGCAGGAAGGTGTGGGAGGGAGCTACTGTTCTATAAACTGTCTCTTTTTTTTATGGCTGATTCCAAATGCCATACTAGGTTTAGGTATAGAATAATGTTTATGAGCCAGGTTCTAGAATTATAGAAATCTGGATTTGACTCTACATTTCCCACTGACAAATCATTTGATACCAAATGAATTATTTCTCAGCCCTAGTTTCCTTTTCTATAAAATAAGGATAATGACACTTCATAGGATTGTTAGGAGGATTAAATCAAATCAGATCAAATTAGATGATCCACATAAGGCACCAAGCACAATGCCTGGCACAAAGCAGATACTCTGAATTTATTATTTGTCTCACTAACTCCCTACATGGATATTTAATTTTTTGAAAAAGAAAACATGATAATGATCTCCAGCAGAGAAAAGAACCTATTAAAAATCAAAATAAAACAAAACAGAAAAACAGCTTGGCCATAGAGAAAACACCTGTGCACAGAAAATTGGCCAGGTTAACTTACTGAGCCTGTGCTGTTGCTTCCTTCTAGAAACAAAAATAAAAGGGGGGCACATATGGCAATAACTTTTATTTATTTTTTCTGCATGGAATTAATGATATTCAGCTCTCCAGGCAGGTTTGGGGGGTTTGGAGTCAGTAACTCTTTGGGGTAGGGTCTTTCATATTTAGGCTCTTTTCTTTGCCATTTTAGAGGCGAGTCCTCAGCTGGTTACTGTCTCACAGTGGGTAGGTGGGCTCACTGAAATTAGGTGAGGTTTTAGAGGTCTGATGTTAGTATTCCCAACCTTGGGCCAGCCTCCTTCCCTCTCCTGGAGAGGTTTCTGCAGAACTGTATGCCCAAGGAACAACAGCAGGGTGTGGATCATAGTCCACCTTATCAGCCACCACACAAGTAATCAAAATCCCAATGTAGAACTCTAGTGAGGGCCTGAGTTGGAGCACCCAGGAAGTCAGAGGCTTGAGGTCTGAGTAGGACCTATTTTTCCCACCTGCCTGAGACTAGCTCATCAGGCAGGGTCTAGTCAGGAGGCAGAAACCACAGAGTGATTTGAACAGAAGAGAATTGAGTGTAAGGAATTGTCTAGTAGATACCTAGGCGTTACTAGGTAACTGAATGGAAATTCCAAATTTTATAGAGGTAGCAACTACAGGAAAGTTACCACTTCTAGATCTGAAAGATCAAAAGGGAAAAGATTGGATTTATTCCAATTTAGAAATATTGAGGAGGGTCTTGCAGAATTCAAACTCAGATCTTTGAGAAGCTGTGCTGCTCAGCTGGTATTAGTGTTTCAGAGGCGGCCAAGAGGCTGGTTTTGCAAAAGCTAGATGAGCTGCAAGCTGCATCCAGCTGCTGCTGCAGAGGGTGAAGAGCAGTTGCTAGGTTGTACTGTCAGGAACAGGAAGCAGACAGGAAGGAGTATGTCCCTTGTTCTCTCCCAACCCTATTGGCAGAGCCTAACAGGGAGCAATTGGCAAAGCTGAAATGGGATCTGGAAAGCCCCAGCCTCAGCACCACTGAGTGACTGGAGGAGGATGCTGTTAGAGTTGAGAATAATGGCTTAATTAGTGGCATGTGTGCTCTGGTACAGGCATGCAAGCATAGACAGAGATGGCTGATTCCCAAGTAGGGCTGGGGTGGGGGCAGTTCAGCTTCCTGACTTTGAGTAGAAGAGGAAGTGTAAGGCAGAGAACTGAGCGTGGCCATATACCTTCTGAGGCACAATATCCATGCCCCCTAGTAGAAAATAGAGTGTAATGAATGTACTGTGCACTCACCAAACAACATGGCATCTTCTCCCTTGGAGAGTTGGGTGGGGATCCCAGCAAGGGACTTCACAAAAGCAGGGTGGAAATGGGAGAGGAGGCTTAGCTCACCTCTCTCCCCATGTGAGGGAGAAAAACAAGTGGTAGCATATGTAAAGTGTTGGCTACTGCCAAGCACATAGGAGGCATTCAGTAAATGGTGGCTGTTATCATTAGAAGGAAGGAAAGATACAGATATATTAGAGAATGAAGTAACTGGCTATAGTGGAGGGAGCCAGAGGACCTTAGTCTATTCTAGGTAAGTGACTCTGAGCAACATGTTTGCTTTTCTGAACTCAAAGTTTCCTAACATGGAGACAATAATACTTGTGGGACTGAATCCCTTGTAGTAGAACCTTAACATATGGTAGTTATTTTGTTCTATTATTAGTTATAGAAATGATAAACTTATTTATTGTTGATGTTGCTAATACTAAATAGAAGAGGCTTTAAAGATGACTTATTCCATTACATCATTGTGCAGATAAAGAAACTGAGGCACAGAAAAAGGTTGATAGTTCTATGGACATTAAGGGCTTGGGCTGCAGAGTCAGTAGATCTGGGTTCAAATCCTCACTGTCCATTTCTACTTACTGGCTAAGTGAGCTTAAGTAAGTCCCTTTATCTCTCTCAGCTTCACAGTGTTGGGAAGACTGCAGGAATTAACATGTTGCCTGGCCCTTAGTAAATAGCCCTGGAACAGCACTATTGTGCTTGGTGAATATGAGAACCCCTGAGTGAGTTGAATCATCATGACAGTGACTTTCACATAGAACAGGCCTTTCAGGTGAGCCTAGGCTCTCTGTAATGATATTGTGAGAGCACTTGAGATTTCAGCCATGGCACTACCAATTATTTGCTTTGCAATATTGAACAAGTAACTCTCTTTCTTCTCTCTGTGGTTTTTTCCTATAAAGATTGTGATACTTGACCTTAGGTCTATTTCCCAGGATTTTCTGGAAGCTGAATAATGAATGAAGCAAGAGTTCTGGAACCCAAAAGCTTTAGGGAAGCTCATAAATAAACTTTGGATGACTAGGTCCTGGCATATACTTGGTTTACCACAGCAGTACTAAACCAAGGGATGCTGGGACTGGAGGCTGGATCCCTGCTTTCAGACTCAAATTGTTCTTGTTATTGTCAACTCTTAATTTTTATGTGCCAACTGGGAAAAATGATTGTGTGAATAAAAGGAACCAGCTGGTGTTGATTGCTTTTCACTCTCAAACTTGAAGAGGCACAAGAGACTATATTTTAAATCTCATTATCTCTCACCTGATCTCTTTCTTCAATACTGTGAAGCTACAGGATGGTTCAGAGGTCCAAAGGTTATTGTCTCCCAGAAGAGAGACAGTGTGCCTAGCTGGTCCACAAAGAAGACAGTACTTAAACAGTTGCCATTGACTCAGCATGTGCTCTACTCTAGTCATTGGCCTGAACGCTTCCCCCGTGGTATCTCCTTTTGTCCCCATAATAACTCTGTGAGGGAGGGGTGTTTATTTATTCATCTGTCTAATAACAATCGAATCTCAGATGTAGAAGATGGAGTGAATCATGATTCTCAATTCATTGTACATTGTCACAATTGTTGTGGACAAGACCTATTCTTATGTTAATTAATTCACTTCTTCCCTTTTATCCACATATCCAACGCTCATTCACCTCCCCTATAAATAATTAACGAAATATATAGTGTATATCTTTGCCTTTGTATATTCTTATGAAATGTATGTTGTGATTTTGTATATGTGTACTTTTAATTGATTTAAATGGTGTTGTGTTGTATTTCATTCTGCCTCTGACTTTTTAATAATTGTTCTTATGGAACCACCGTGGTTTTAAGACCTATCCATGTTTATCCATGGATTATTTAATCTTTTGCCTCCTGGTGTAGTGTGATACTCCATAGCATGCACCCACCACAGGTATAAATTCCCTTTCCTAGCCAGTCTGCATTGACATTAAATTCCCTACTGCCACAAAGAAGCATTTGCATCCCTATATGTCTCCTTTATGGACTGTGTGAAAATTGCTTTGGGGTATGTAGTGAAGAATGCCATTGTTACTTCATCGGTACGCATGGATTTAATATGCTTAAGTAGTACCAAAGGCAGGTGCTGTTACCCACATTTTACAAATGAGGAAACTGAGGGTTTAAGAGTTTTAATACTTTCCCCCCAAAGTCTCATACCATCTATGAATCTTAGCAGACCTGAGATTCAGATTCAGGCAGTCTTACACCAAAACTTCTGCTCCTAACAGCTATGCCATCATTATTCTCTTGAGTGTTTGAGACTCGAGAGCATTTTATAAAACACATAAAGGTCAATCTCATTGTTTGGAGTTTTTATACTTAGGACCTAGGAATCCAAAAGGACTGATTTTTTTTCCCTGAAGTATCTGCTTCCCTCTAATAGCCACATAGTAACTACTTCACTCTGACTTTCATATCCTGTACATCTGCAGTGCTAAGAGCCGTGTTAATCATCCAGAACTGGTACCGAGGTTACAGAGCTCGGCTGAGGGCCAGACAACACTATGCCCTCACTATCTTCCAATCCATCGAATATGCTGATGAACAAGGCCAAATGCAGGTCTGTTTTCAAGCTTGTGTCTTCTTTAGGTAAAATATTTCTCTCTTTGTTCTTTTTTATTGAAAGAATGAAAGTTTGGGTCCATTTTAAGCTAAGGAACCTTGGGGAAAGGCTTTCATAGAGGATGTAGTAACATTGTCTTGGAACTACTATTTAGAGAGAATGCGATTTAGGAAAAAGATGGTATTTTTCATTTTTGAAGTTCACATTTTTAAGAGAACAAACCAATGTCTAGTTAACCAACAAAAATAGCCTTATTTTATTTTGAAGGAAAAGTAATTTAAAGATTTAAAAAAATGAACGAATCTCTTAAGAACAAACCTATGAAAGTTCTACAAGAAAATATGGGCAAGAAAGGCCTTTTTAAAGCTTACAAAAAGAATTTGTAAATCCAACTTCATGAAGTTCATTAACCTGAGAAAGTACTTCTAACAATGAAAATGCCTCAGAAAAATCTCCAATATAGCTGTTAATGAAAAAAACCAACTTATAGAACAGTATGTTGATTTTATCCCATATATGTGAAAGAAAATTAAGCATGCTGCAAAAGTCTGGAAAAAGATACACAGGAAATTGTTTGCAGTGGTTAGTTCCAGGGACAGGAATAGTATTGGTGGGTGGGTAGGGATGTGTTAAGAGGGATTTCTTATTTTTATTTGGTATTGTTTGTAGTTTTTAACAATCCTATATTTATGTATCATGTTATAAACTTTGAAGATAACTAAGAAAATCCCAAAAAGAATTAGATTGCCAGATTTATTATTGGCAGCTGTAAAAATGATCTACTGTGATTCAATCAAATACTTCCTCTGCCCACGTTAGGAGCTCATGGCATTGGCTGTCTTTTTAAGCACTGTAGAACATAGTGATGAATATAAAGGTAGACCGACCTCTCAAATTGGCATGTTTTATACATAAACATTCTAGTATCAGTACATTCTTTTCTATTGATGTTTTTAATAACAGACTTTTTTTTTTTTTTTCAGTTTTTGGCCGGGGCCAGGTTTGAACCCACCACTTCCAGTATATGGGGCCGGCGCTCCACTCCTTTGAGCCACGGGCGCTGCCCTAATAACAGACTTATTAAGACACGATTCACATAACTATACAATTTACACATTAAAAGCATACACTTCAGTAGTTTTTAGTATATTCCCTGAGTTGTACAACCACCACTACAATCAGTTTTAGGACATTTTCATCACTTCCTCAAAACTCCATACCCTTTAATAGTCACTCCCCCATTCACTTATCCTAGACCCTAGCAACCACTAATCTGTTTTCGGTTTCTATGGATTTGCTTCTTCTGACCATTTCATAGCAATATGTGGTCTTTTGTATTTGGCTTCCTTTACTTAGTGTAGTGTCTTCAGGGTTCACCCATGTTGTAGTATGAATCAGGACTTCATTCCTTTGTATGGCTGAGTTATATTCCATTGTATGGACAGACCATATTTTGTTTATCCATTCCTCAGGCAGTGGATTATTTGGGTGGTTTCCATCTTTTGACTATTGTGAATAATGCTACTGTGAACATTTGCATGCAAGAGTTTGTGCGAACACGTTTTCAGTTCTCTTGGGTATATACCTGGGAATGGAATTGCTGGCTAATATGGTAACTTTGTGTTTAACTTTTTGAGTAGCTGCTAAACTGTTTTCCAAAGCAGCTGTACCATTTAACATTTCTGCCAGCAGTGTGGACTCTAGTATATTCAAATTTTTGATTTATTGATTGATTGAAACAGGGTCTCACCCTGTTGTCTGGACTAGAGTGCAGTGGCATCATCATAGCTCACTGCAACCTCCAGTGCCTAGACTCAAGTGATCCTCCTCCTCAGTCTCCCAAGTAGCTTGGACTATAAGTGTGTGCCATCATACCCAGCTGATTTTTCTATTTTTTCTAAAGTTGGGTTCTTGCTATGTTACCATGTCTGGCCCTTCTTAACACCTTTTCTGGTCTTCAATTCCTGGCCTCAAGTGATCCCCTTGCCTCAACCCCCCCCAAAGTGCTAGGATTACAGGCATGAGCCATCATACCTAGCTTTTTCACATTTTTGCCAACACTTGTTATTATCTGTCTTTTTGATTATAGATGTGAATTGATATCTGTTGTGGTTTCTATTGGCTCTTTTTTTTTTCTTGAGACAGAGTCTTACTTTGTCACCCTCAGTAGAGCACTGTAGCATCATAGCTCACAGCAACCTCAGACTCTTGGGCTCAAGCAATTTTCTTGCCTCAGCCTCATGAGTAGCTGGGACTACAAGCATCTGCCACAATGCTCAGCTATATTTAGAAACTGGGGTCTCACTCTGGTTCAGGCTGGTCTCAAACCTGTGAGCTCAGGCAATCCACTGGCCTCAGATTCCCAGAGTGCTAGGATTACAGGCATGAGCCACCTCACCTGGCCTCTATTGGCTCTTAATTGACAAATCCATTAACACTATTTAAATCATACATTTTAATGTTTATATGGAAATTCTTCCTTTCCTTAACTCCCAGATTGATAAAGTTCCTTAGTATTCACTTACCATGGGAGGAAGGGATTGAAGAAGAAACTATGTGTACAATACAAATGCAAGTCTTTGCAGATAATTGATAGGCATACAGGCAGCACCCAGGTAATCCTTGGAATGCTGGTGAATTTCCACTTTTGTCTTCTTTTATTTCTGAAATATATTTGATATGTAAGTGTATCCCTTCACTCTGAATTTCACCACCAAAAAGACAAGATGATAGTATAATAAACAAAATATAGTAGCTGTGTTAGATTGGATTTCTTAGAAGCACAGTCTTGAGACAAGGATTCTAGCACAAGTGCCTTACTCAAGGAGTATTCTCAGGAAAAAACCTGTAAGGAAGCGAGGAGCATGAGATAGGACAGGTGAAGAAGCTTGGCAAAAATGTGCTTTCTGAAGAAGTCTGAAAGTGTGAAATATATCATAGTTTGTCCCTGGCAGGGGCAAGGGTGGTAGGGGACTGGGCTGTTACACCCTTGCTACAGCCAGTTGTTGGCTCTGGGCAGCCCCCTGGGATGGGTGTGTATGTGATATCCTCTGCAAGTTTGGGTGAGGTGTTGCCCATCTGGGAGGAAAACATCTGGAGGCAGGTATAGGTATGACACTTAACACCTTTTACTTTTATTTCTTTTGAGACAGAGTTTCACTTTGTCTCCCTGGGTAGAGTGCTGTGGCATCATAGCCTACAGCAACCTCAAACTCCTGGGCTCAAGCAATTCGCTTGCCTTAGCCTCCCATGTAGCTGGGACTACCGGCCTCTGCCACAGTGCCCAGCTATTTTTAGAGACAGGGGTCTCTTTCTTGCTCAAGCTAGTTTTGAACTGGTGAGCTCAGGTGATCCACCCGCCTCCCACAGTGCTAGGATTACAGACGTGAGCCACCACGCCTGGTTCTTGTTAACACTTTTTCTGATGCCCAGAAAAGTAAGGGGATAGCATTTGCTTTAGTAGCTCATTAACCAATGAATGTATCTTTATTTTGCAGCTGTCCAACTTCTTCTCCTTTATGTTGGATAATTATACAAATATGGGTGAGGACGATCCAGGTAAGTGAAAAATTTAGTCTTTTGAAAAGTAACCAATATTGAAGTGCCCTCATCAAGAGATGTAAATTCTGAAGATGGGAGAACCCTAAGAAATTAAAAGATGCCCACCTCTTTGGTTTATATGACTTTCAACAACTGGTGAAATCAGTTCAACTGGCTTTTTTTTGTTTTGCAGTTTTTGGCCGGGACTGGGTTGAACCCACCACCTCTGGCATATAGGGCCCGCGCCCTACTCCTTTGCGCCACAGGCACCGCCCTCAACTGGCTTTTTCCCTTCTCTGGATGGTGTTGACTAAATCAGCCATTTAATCTTTTCACTTTTCAAAAAATGAATTAGAGTTCATTCATCATTCACTTGTTGAATACTTTTTCTAAACTACAGTCTATTGATGCACAACAGTAGCTTAGTAAAGAGAATCTTATTTCTCATCCAAAAACTTTTGTGCTGAGAGATCAAAATATCTTAAATGTTTCATGCAGCAGGTCTAGGGAAAAATGATGGATTAAACACAGTTGGCTCCATTATGTCACTGTTTGCTGTCCCATGTAGATATCTCTATCTATGTATCTGTGTCTATCATTTCTATTATCTATCATAGTCATTCTGAAGCAGGCAGACGATAGAGATGTGGTTCAAAAATGATTTAAAAATTATAATTATTCACAGGGCATGTACGTCTATTTCTCCTGCAAATTAAGATCTGCCTGTTATTGTCTACAAGGTGGATGCCAGACTTAAAAACTCATTTTTCTTTAATTTGGGCTATTATTTTTTGCTCTAATTAAAATGTATATGGCATCTAGGAGCATTTTTTAAGTAATCTGGTAAACACCCTTCAAAGTGGTGAAAGAATGGTGTTTTAATGGCATGATTTGAGCTAAGTACATATGTATGAAACTAATTAAAGCATTTAATGATCTGTAGAAGCTTTCCGAATGGTGAAATAGCCAAACCTGGAGTGGGGAGTAGGTGGAAGTGGGTACGTTGCCATTTTCTTTCTTTTAGATAATTGCAATTTGAAGACAGTTGTTTGTGCTTCATGTTCTTTGGCAAAAATGTTTTTGAGAGGAAATATAATGATGAAATGAAATAGCACTCTTTCTGCTAATGGCCTAATATTTCAGTCCAGGCTCACTTCATTAAAATCACTTAGGGTATTTCAGAGCTACAGATGGCTGGGTTCCAGTCTAGAGATATTTACTCAGATTCTCTGTTTTTGTAAATATGCATTGTAAAGAATGCTATAGTTGATTTTTAAATATAGCAAGTTTTTTTTTCTTTTTTTTTTTTTTTGCAGTTTTTAGCCGAGGCTGGGTTTGAACCCGCCATCTCCAGCATATGGGGCCGGCGCCCTACTCCTTTGAGCCACAGGTGCTGCCTGCAAGTTATTTTTTCAGAGAAGGGAGATAGTAGTTTAATCTTTCTCTGTAAACTTTTTTCAAGTGTAACATGTATCACAGGAAAGTATACAAATTATATGATTCAATAAATTTTCTTAAACACACTCATGTAATAGGCACCCAGAACAAAAAATTAAACATGATCAGAGTCACAGAAGCCCATTTCTGCCCTCTTCTAGTTGCTATGCAACCCTACTCCCCAACTACTTTCTTGACTTTCATACCCCAGATTAGTTTTGCTAGCTTTTGAACTACGTTATATAAATGGAAGCATACAATATATATTCTTTTGAGTCTGGTATCTTTTGTGCAATATTATATTTGAAGAGTCATCCTTGCTGTTGTAATTTGGTCATTCTTGTTGCTGAATAATTTTCCATTTTACTAATATGCCATAATTTATCCATTCTATTGTTCATGGGCATTTGAGTTGTTTTCAGATTTGGCAATTTAAAATGGTGCTGCTATGCACATTCTTGTACATTTTGGTAAACATATGTATTCATTTCTTTTGCTGTATACTTATTTTCAGTTATCTATTGCTGCATAACAAACCACCCCAAAATTGAGTAGCTTAAAAACAATAGGCATTTTATTGCTTGTGATTTTGTAGGTCAGTCATTTCAATAGAGCTTACTGGGGACTGCTTGTTTCTGTTGCAGATGGCATCAGTTGGGCTCATTCATCTGTCTGTATCTTTGGTACTAGCTAGTAACCTGGTTACCTCTCTTCTTCTCATGCAGCCTCTCTGTCCACTAGCATAGTCTGGATTTCTTTACATGGTGGTTGGGTCTAAGAGGGCAAAGGCAGAAGCTGCAAACCTCTTAAGGCCTGTGTCCTGGAATTCTGGGAAATTAGTTTTGCCATATTCTATTGGTCAAAGCAAGTCTCAAGGCCAACCATAGAATCAAAAGGATTGAGAATTATCATTCTTTTGCTGAGAGGAATGGCAGCATTACAGCATAAAGGGATATGGACCCAAGGAGGCATGGTTCACTCAGAGCCATCATTATAAAGAGGTACCACAACCTGAAGATGGAGGTTTTGGGTTATAGGGTAGATATATGTTCAGCTTTTTTCAAGACTGACAATTTTTCAAGATGGTCATATCAACCATATTCCCACCAGTTCCAGTTGTTTCATATCCTCATAAATACTTGGACTTGGACATTCTTTTCATTTTAGCCCTTCTCATGAGTATATAGTAGTATCATATTTTTGCTTTTCTTTGAGATGGAGTCTCATTCTGTTGCCCCAGGCTAGAGTGCTGTGGCATTATAGCTCATAGCAACTTCAAACTTCTAGGTTCAAGAGATCCTCCTGCTTCAGTTTCCTGAGGAGCTGGGACTACAGTTGTGCACCACCATGCCCAGCTGATTTTTCTTTTCTTAATAGAAAGAGGGTCTCACTCTTGCTCAGGCTAGTCTCGAAGTTCTGGGCTCAAGCAATCCACCTGCCTCAGCCTCCCAGAGTGTTAACAATTATAGGCATGAGCCACCACGTCTGGCCTCATATTTCTGCTTTAATTTAATTTTCCTGGTGAGCAGTGAAGTTGCTTACTTTTTTGTATGTTTATTAGTCATGTGGACATCTCATTTGGTGAAGTGCCTGTTCTAGTCTTTTGCCCATTTTTCTAATGGGTTATCTGTCTTTTTCTTATTAATTTGTAAGAGTTTTTTTTTTTTTTTTTTTAAGACAGAGTCTTACTTTGTCACCCTTGCTAGAGTGCTGTGGTGTCATAGCTTAGAGCAACCTCAGACTCTTGGCTCAAGTGGTTCTTTTGCCTCAGCCTCCTGAGTAGCTGGGACTACAGGCAGCCACCACAATGCCTGGCTATTTTTAGAGACAGGGTCTCACTCTTGCCGAGATGGGTCTTGAACTCAGCTCAAACAATCCACACCCCTCAGCCTCCCAGGTATGAGCCACTGCGCCTGGCCTATAAGAGTTCTTTTTTTTTTTTTTTTTGCAGTTTTTGGTCAGGGCTGGGTTTGAACTCACCACCTCCGGCATATGAGCCGGTGCCCTACTCCTTTGAGCCACAGGCACCACCCCAGCCTGTAAGAGTTCTTAAACTGTTCTAAATATGAATCTTTGTTAGATAAATGTACTGAAAATATCTTTCCCAGTCTTTGACTTTTATTCCCCCAATCTTTAAATGATGTCTTGATGAAGAGGAATTCTCTTAATTTTAATGTAGTACAACCTTTTTCCTTTATGGTTAATTCTTTCTGTATTCTGTTTAAGAAATCTTGCTCTGGCCAAGCATGGTGGCTCATGCCTGTAATCCTAGCACTCTGAGAGGCTGAGGCAAGAGGATCACTTGAGCTCAGGAGTTCAAGACCAGCCTAAGCAACATAGTGAGCCCCTGTTTCTATTAAAAATAGAAAAATTAGTTGGCTGTTGTTGTGAGCAGCTGTAGTCCCAGGTACTTGGGAGGCTGAGGCAGGAGGATCACTTGAAACTTGGAGTTGGAAGTTGCTAAGAGTGAAGCTAATGCCACAGCACTCTAGCCCAGGCAACAGAGTGAGATTCTGTCTCAAAAAAATATATAAATAAATAAAAGAAGAAAGAAATCTTGCTTTGTTAAGAGATTTTATATTTTTACACCCTCTGAGTATATGTGTGTATATACACATTCTTTTGCTGAGAGTAATGGCAGCATACATTGCTGAGTGTATGTATATACACACATACACTCAGAGGGTGTAAAAAATTGTATATACATTTTAAGAAAGGAAAAAACTATTAAAATTGTAATGATATATGCCATTAACGAAAGATGAATACAAGTTATCATTGAACAACAATGATAACTACAACAAAAAAATAGCCAGGTATTGTGGCCAGCGTCTATAGTCCCAGCTACTTGGGAGCTGAGGCAAGAGAATCGCTTAAGTCCAAGAGTTGGAGGTTGCTGTGAGCTGTGATGCCATGGCACTCTACTGAGGGTGACATAATGGGACTCTGTCTCAAAAAAAAAAGCACCAAACGTGACTTGAGTATTATAAATCTAATACAGTTTTTTCCTTTCTTAAAACATGTATGTATATATATATATGTATATATTTTGTACCCTCTGTATTCATTTGTGTAAAAATAAATATAGGACAAACCTATGGAGTAAACCAGAAACTAATGACATTGTTACCTACAGGGGATGACTGGGTACAGGGCAGAAAAAAAATGAGAGAATAGGCATTGAATAGAAAGGATAGGGGGAGTGATACTTTTCTGAGTATTTTTTGTAGTTCTTATTCTTAGAACTATGATTGTGTTTTATATCCCCTCCCTTAAAATAAAAATTTATTAAGAGCAGGAAAAGAGTGTGTGTGTCCATGTAATCCAGAAAGAATATATACTGTGACAAAAGAACCTAACTCTGTTATGAATGAATAATACACAACTACCTGAAGGAGGTCAGTAAGAAATATATTAACCTAAGTAATTTTGGAAAATAGTATTTTAACCTTCAGGTGCCTTGATGAAATTTCATTTGTATTTATCCTACTTGGGGTTTGCTGAGCTTCTGTGATATCTAAATTGAGATTTTTTCTTAAATCAGGCTCAGGAAATTTTTATAGAAGGCTCTAAAATATTTA